GTGTGTGTGTGTGTGTGTGTGTGTGTGTGTGTGTGTGTGTGTGTGTGTGTGTGTGTGTGTGTGTGTGGTGTGGTGGTGTGTGGGGAGGGGAGGGGAGGAGGAGAGAGGAGGGGGGGAGGGGAGGCTTGGAGTGGAGGAACGTGAACCGAGTTGCACACCGAGATCAAGAAGAGAGATCACCAAAGTACGAAAGCAGTCATCCACCAAACCCATTTGCAAGGAAACATACAAACACGCACGCACCGCTGTGACGGGTTCGCTCTCTGCGACGATAATGTGGAATTGGCGGCCGCTCGCGCGCACTTTCTTGCAAAACTCCAGGATGGTGGTGGAGTAACCTGGACGGGGACACACGCACACGTGATGATGGAAGGGGGATGCATGTGGGGAGCGCGTGAGGATTGCACGCAGCCATGACGTGTGATGGTGGCAGTGTGACATGAAGTGGCTAATGGTGATCCAGGATTAAAATAACGGACGAGCACACACAAATACTCGTGCACATTCACGCACGCTCGCGCACACCCACGTACGCTCACGCACACACGCTCAACCACAAAACACGAGCACACGCACAAACACAAACCCACATACACACACGCACCGCTTGTCATGACAATCTCGTTGACGTGGATGTGTTCAATGGACTGCTGGCAGATCATGGGAATGACGGTGCCAAGCTCCTCCTTGAGGTCTGCCAACTTGCTCAGCACTTCACGCCGCAGCTCCTTGTAGCGGTTGCGGAACGACCGCACGTTGTAAATGTCAGGCAGGTGGCCCTGCACGTGCGTGCGTGCGTGTGTGTGTGTGTGTGACAGGCACAATGGTGGTTGTCAGCTGAAAGGATAGAATGACGCTGTACCAGCGACACGGTTGGAACAACTTGTGTACGTGTGTGGAATGCACATGTGAGGCACCGCACGTCTGAGGAGCGGGCGGACAGTTCACTTCCTGCGATGGGCTTGATGTCTGGGTCTCCCTCGCACCTGTTTCCCACAGCGAAGAGAGAGCGTGCGCATTGACAGAGCGTGAGTGCGTGGATTATGCGAGCGAGTCAGTGTGCTTGATGAGGGGTTTGGGAACTCGGGGCCATTGCAACCCCTTGTTCTGACGGAGAGCATAACACGCCACACGCCATACGCCACACGCCACACCACCACACGCCACACGCCACACGCCACACGTCACGCCGGCAGCCATCGTAAGAGCGCACGTACTCCTCGTATGCTTCGTGGATGAACTTGATGGCACGGTCAACCATGTTGACGCAACCGGTTTCTGAAAGCACGCGACATTTTGATTGTTAGTCACAAATGGGCAATGGATGTCCACTGCCAGCAGCAGCAGCAGTGGCAAAAACCTATGACAAGCACGCACGCGTGAAAACTCGAGCACAGGCAGCGAGGGAGGGAGGGAGGGAGAGAGACAGAGAGGGGTCGTAATCGAGAGACACACTACCACACACATACACACACACACACACACACACACACACACACACACACACACACACACACACACACACACACACACATCAACACATGACGACACCCACTTGATGGGCCAGCATCCTTCCACTTCTTCTTCATATCCTCCAGCATGGAAACAAAGTTCCTGGGCCATGAGTAGTTCGCACACGCACACATATGGGCAGACAAGTGTGAACAGCCACCATATGAAGAACGGGAACCAGGCCAGACAGGGGTGCATTGTTCGTCTCGTTTCACAAACAGGCACACATATGCGGGTGCACGCGATTCTCTCCATCTCACAGCTCGGGCACTTACGCTGCGTCGTCGGTCCTGTTCTTGGAGACGGCCTGGAGCAGGGCGTCCAACGCGCTCTCCGCAAGCCCAATCGAGCTGTGCTTGCTCTTCTTCTCAGACATGGCGACAGTCGGTTGGTGTGTGGGGTGCTGGTGGTGCGGGCAGTGGTGTGAGATGCGGTTTGTGTGGTGGTGGTGCGGAATAAATGCACGCCTGTGGCATAATCGTACTGTTTATAGGCCCTGACTGAATATAGGACGAGCCGCGGGTGTGTGTGTGTGTGTGTGTGTGTGTGTGTGTGTGTGTGTGTGTGTGTGTGTGTGTGTGTGTGTGTGTGTGTGTATGTGTGCGAGTAGACGTGCAAGTGGCAGGCTCCTCTGTCTCGACTCTCGAGAGTCTTTCAGCCTCTCTCAACAATGAACGCACGAAGTTCTGTTCATTCGACACTCCAAACCAAGAAGGAAAGACGCAAAAGAAACACACAGCACTGGCAATCGAGGGACGAAAAGACAGTACCAGCACCACCACCGACAACAAACAACAACAACATCACCACCAACAACAACAAACAACAACAACAACAACAACAACAACCGACAACAACAACCGACAACAACAACAACAACAACAACAACAACAACAACAACAACAACAACAACAAAAGGGTATCAGTATCAGCACACCATTGGGCAGGCGATGAGCGTGATGCCATCGTTGTTGTTCACACACATTGCGTTGAGGCCATGGCAGTTGGCAGTGGTCAGGAGGTCGTTGTTTGTAAAGGAGAGCATTCCACCCACGCTGTTGATGCTGCCAAAGTCAATGCTGGTGATGGCGCCGTTGTCCTTAAAGTCGATGGTGAAGCCAACAAAGGTGATGCTGCCAAAGTCCACGATCGTCAGCGCGTCGTTGTTCTCAAACTTGATGCCGCTCTCCGCACGGGTAATGCTGCCAAAGTCCACAGAGGTCAGTGCCTGGTTGTTCTTAAAAAGCATGGAGTTGCCCACGCTGATGGTGCTGCCGAAGTCAATGTGGGTGAGGGCATTGTTCGACTCAAAGCGCACCAGTCTGCCCAGTCTGAGTACGCTGCTAATGCTGAAGCTCGTGAGGGCGTGGTTGAACAAGAGTCTCAGATCTTGGGTGATGCTGCCCAGGCTGCGGAAATCAATGCTGGTTAGGGCGGGGTTGCTCTTGAACTCAACGTACGTCCCCACGCTTCCCATGCCACCAAAGTCAACGCTGGTGAGCGCGGCGTTGGAATAGAGCCAGACGTAGGTGCCCACGCTGGTGATGCTGCCAAAGTTGATGCTGGTGAGGGCGTTGTTGGTGAAGAAGTACACGTGCTCACCCACGCTGGTGACGCTGTTGAAGTTCACATTGGCCAGGGCGTCGCTGTAGAGGAACGACACGAAACCACCCACGCTGGTGATGCCGCTGAAGTCGACATTGGCCAGGGCAGCGTTGGAAGTGAAGCTCATGTACCCATTCACGCTGGCAACGTTGGCAAAGTTGATGCTGGTGAGAGCAGCGTTGGAGGTGAACTTGGTGTAACCGCCGATGCTGGTGATGCTTCCAAAGCTGATGCTGGTGAGGGCAGCGTTGGTGCTGATGTCAATGTCTGCACCCACGCTGGCAATGCTGCCAAAGTCAACGGCAACAAGGGCGCTATTGACGACGCATCTGATGTAGGTGCCCACGCTCGTAATGCTGCCAAAGTTGATGCTGGTGAGCGCAGCATTCGAATTGAGTTCAATGTACGTGACCACGTTGGTGATGCTGCCAAAGTCGATGCTGGTGAGGGCATCGTTGGAAAAGAACTTAATGTACCCGCCAAAACTGCCACCAGTGACGCCAATGCCGGCGATGCTGCCAAAGTCAACGCTGGTGAGGGCATCGTTGCGCAAAAACTCCACGTAGGCACCCACACTGGTGATCTTGCCAAAGTTGATGCTGGTCAGGGCAGCGTTGGAGGTGAACCTGACGTAACCGCTGACACCGGTGATGCCGCCAAAGTCGATGCTCTCCAGTGTCTGCGCCGAAATCAGCACATTCCCAGTCACCCCTCCTTGGGCAACACTGAAGCTTGTGCCTGCCAAGCTAACGGTGCCGCCGACATCGCGCAGCGAGCCGAACGCAATGGCGCTAACAGGGTTGGTGTAGTGAATAGCAACATCACCACCAACAGTTGTCACCTGCCCAAAGTCAACAGACTCAAGTGCGCCGCCACTAACACCTGAAATGTCCCCGCCAACATGCACCACGGACCCAAACTGCAAGGATGTCTCCGTGTTGCGCAGCGTCACCGATCCATTCACGCTCTCCAACGCGTAGAACTCGTCACAGCAGCAGTTCACAACAGCAGCTGCAGTGGTCATGGCTTGAGTCGCAAAATAGAGGCGCGAGTTCGGGTTATCACAGTCCAAGATGTCAGGGGAGAGCGTGGTCGTTGTGGTTGTGGATGTTGTTGTTGTTGTGGTTGTCGTCGTGGTAGTGGTTGTGGTTGTTGTTGTGCTTGTTGTTGTTGTTGAAGTCGTGGTCGTAGTGGTTGTTGTAGTGGTCGTAGTGGTTGTTGTAGTGGTTGTCGTCGTGGTAGTGGTAGTGGTTGTTGTTGTGGTAGTGGTTGTTGTTGTGGTAGTGGTTGTTGTGGTAGTGGTTGTTGTGGTAGTGGTTGTTGTGGTTGTGGTAGTCGTTGTTGTTGTTGTAGTGGTTGTAGTGGTTGTAGTAGTCGTTGTAGTAGTCGTTGTAGTACTTGATGTTGTCGGTGGGGTCGTAGAGGCGGTGCTGGTGGTGATATTGGCCGTTGTCACAGTCGTTGCTGGATGAACTGTCGTGCCTGCGCTTGTCACAACAGCTGCTGTTGTGGTGACGTTTGAAGCGCTCTGGCCGCGGCTCTTGCTGGCACCAGCCGCTGTGCTCGTCACGGCTACTGGCACACTCACAGCCGCGGCGACAATGACCACGAGCAAGACAACCAGGAGAGCCTTGAGCCCGCAACCCCGTCCTTGCTTTTCGTCGACCGTACTTGAGCCCCCACGCCCACCATCGCCTTCCAGGGTGAAGAGCTTCACATCAGTATACGGCGATGACGGGGTATGCGTGCCAGCCGAGTAGACCTGGGCGTACGGCTGGTATTGAGGACGTGCACCCTTTGCACCAGATGGCTTGTTCGCCCATGACCCTGCTCCATCATCGTGGTGACGGCCAATCCCTGTCTCTGCCACAATCGGGTGCGGGTTGTTGTGCGCAAAGCTGGCCATCCTCTCTGTGCGCGACACAATACGCGCTGCACGAATTTGAATGCTATTGTTAAATGAAGATATGACGTCATCGCTGGTGAAAATTATCCGCGTCAAAGTCACGCTTTTTGTTGTCATATCAGAATCTGCTGACGGAGCAAAAAACATGGCACGTTAAGAGGCCTCACACACACACACACACACACACACACACACACACACACACACACACACACACACACACACACACACACACACACACACACACACACACACACACACACACACACACACACACACACACACACATTCTCACAGTCACTCGATTCTCGCAATGTCACATCACAATGTCATTCGCTTGTCTCGGCTTGTGTATGATGGATGACATGAAACAGACACCAAACAGAAACTCATCAACCAAACATCTTAACGGACACACAAACGTCCAAACAAACATACAGACAGAGAGGCACTGTTGCTTCCACACAAACACCAACACCAACAACATGCACGCCACTCCTCCCTTCATCCTTCATTCAACCCTTGTCGCTGGCTCATGATGGATGTGTCCGCTGCGGCGCTATGCGATATCCTGCCCACGACGGGCGGCCTAGGGAGTGGATTGGCACGCAGCACAGGTGCAAAGCAGTACAAGTGAGATGGCAGCGAGTGACACGGTGAGGCAAGCACACACACACACACACACACACACACGCACACCCATCACGGATACACCACAGTGGATGATGCGATTTGGGATGGCAAAGGTGCATTGCCAAGCGCGCGCGCACACACACACACACACACACAACACACACACACACACACACACACACACACACACACACACACACACACACCTACCTCTTGAATGCGAAGGCGCTCTGCAAACACGCGCGCCCGCTCGGCCATGGCCTCCTGGCGCTTGCGCACCGTCTGCACGCGCAACACGTCGTGTGCAAGACCAGCAGCAGAAGCAGTTCAACGTGGGGGTGAGTGCCCGTGCCAATCACAGAGAGCACACGCGCGCGCACACACACACACATCAAGGCACACGTAAACGCACACACACACATACACACACATATACACAAACACACACATACACATACACACGTATACGCAAAAGGAGCAGCCGACGCACGTCTGCCTGGAGAGAGGTCATCCATGCCTCAATGTCCTGCAGGTGGCGCAACTTCATCTCCATCTTCTGCAGCTGCACGTCAATCAGGCCCGCCGTCAGCGCCCGGATGTGCCGCTCAGCCGCCCGCGCCAACGCCTTCACAGAGGGGAGGAGAAGGGGCAGGCACAGGGGGAGAAGCGCAAGTATGCATACAGCACGCACGCATGCCAAGACAAGGACGCGTAGGGTGTGGTGGTGTTGTGTTTTCGTGAGAAGGAATGGCGTCTCCACGCACACGCAGCCAATCACTCTCACACACAACGCAGCACAGCACAGCACAGCACAACACAACACAGCAAAACACAACACAACACAACAAATGCACAGCAACACATCTGGCGTCATTGTCACCACCACCGCCACTCCCGTTGCCACCACTGTTACTGCGATGACCAAGTGCGCATGCCTCCTTTTTCAAGCATCTCTTCCCCTCCACCGCCTCTACCACCACTGCTCCGCCATCCCCCCTCTCGTTCTAACACACGGCAGCGCACCCACCATGGCCTTGTTGGACGCTGCCTTGAGCGCTGCGCGTGACGCCTCCTGCACGTCTTCGCTCGTCACCAGCGCCTGCAGCTCCTTCGACTCTTCCGCCGTCCACGCCCACCCGGGCGGCTTTGCCTGTGACGACGACGACGAGGATGATGATGATGATGACGGCGGTGCTGCTGTTGCTGATGCAGTGGCTGTCGTGCCCTGCTGTGCTGCTTCTGCTTGTGCTGGCTGGGCCTTGTCGCCTTCCTTCTTCACTGCCTGTTGCTGGGACGACTGTGCCGGCGCGCTTGCGTCCTCGCTCGTGTCCATCGCACCACCAGCACCAGTGCCCTCTCCCTCCTCTGCCGTAACTGCCTTGGATCTGCGCTGCTCTTCTGCTGCTGCTGGTGCTGCTGGTGCTGGTGCTTGCTTATCGCCCGTGCCCAGGGTCATACGCGACCGAAGCAGTTGCACCAATTGCGTTACCGGCGTCTTTGTTGCCTTGCGTTCTTCTTCCTTCGATCCCCCTTGTTGCTTTGCCGCTACTGCTGTCTCTGTTTCCTTCGCCCCATCACTGCCCTTATCCATCTTTGCTTTACCTTCCTTCTTCTCCTCCTCCTCGCCCTCCTTCGCTCCATCTCTTCCCCCTGCTGCTGCTGCTGCCGCTGCTGCCGCTGTGTGTCGCTCGCCAATCTTGAGCATGGCTGCCCGCGCCGCGTCAGCAGCAACACTCGGCTGCATGGCAGAGAGGGGGAAAACGGGTGGGAAACGTGATCGTGAAGGGAAACGGACGGGGGAGGGGAGAAGCGTCATCGGTGCGAGCCAAGCAAGTTCCGTTGCATGACGCACCCACACACATTAAGCGCGTGCACAAACGCACATGCACATGCACGTGCACGCATGAAACCGCACAGTAAACAAACGAACAAACAAACACGCAACAACAAAGCAATGCCTGGGCGGTGCACTGACCTCGACCACAGAGGCGAGAAAAGCAAGCGTCTTCATGAGTGGATTCTGTGCGGTGACAAAAGGGATTGGATCAGCATCAACCTTCGTCTCCTCATGCAGGAACGTGTCCTCAATCGGCAGCCTGATTGGTGGGCAGGGGAGTGAAGGGGAATGGTGGTGTGGCGAGGGTGAGCAGCGGCTATTGTGTGTGTGTGTGGGGGGGGGAGAACGAAGTGCAGCCGCGCATACAGGCGAACAAACATGCACTTCGCATACAAAGTCACACACACACACACAACACGCATCATCATCATCATCATCGTCATCATCATCATCATCATCACCATCGTGGCACAAGTATGGCACCTGATGAATGCGAGGACGCAGTCGTCGTGGCTGCGGACGGCCTCGCCGGCGTAGCAGACGCGGTTGACGTGATCGCGCACGCGCATCCAATCGTCGCGGTGAAGATCCACGGCCTCAAGCAGCGCAAGCACCTCCTGGTGGCGGTGGTCGACGTGGTGGTAGGAGGAGTGAAGGGTGAGGAGAGATGCCACTTATCCAAAGAACACACAGGATCACAGGAAATACAACACAAGCACCAGCACAAGCACACAAACACAAAGACAAGCACACAACACAAACAAAAACACAACAGTGCGCATGCAAGCAGCAAAATGCACGAAGACAACGCACATGGTCGCTCCACGGCGCGCCCTCCTCGCTTGCTGGCCGGCTGTACAAATCCCGGCGCAGTCCAAAGTTCTGTGCAGTCGCTGTGGACGTGCTGCGGATGCCCAGCTGTGGCGTTGGCAGATCAACAACACGCGCCTTTGCATCACCCCTCGCTTGCTGTAAACGCCAAGGTGAAGGTGTGTGCGTGTGTGCGTGTGGGTGGTTGGTTGTGTGCGTGTGGGTATGTATGTGTGCATTAGAGCCGAGAAAACAGATATGGGCAGGTGCACACACACACACACATGGTCACACACACACACGCGCGCACAGCAGCAACAACAACGCGCCACACCTCGTCAGCGAGCTTCTTCATGTGCAGCGGCTGCAAGCCCTGCGGGGTGTCCCCGAGAATGTGGAAGTGGGATGTTGGCGGCGGCCCAACAGCTGTCGGTCGCGTCTCCTTGTCAACCTGCAACACACACAACAGAGAGTGTGCGTGTGAGTGAGTGAGTGTGTGTGTGTGCGTGTGTATGCGTGCGCGTGCGTGCGTGTGTGCGCGTGCGTGCGTGTGCGTGCGTGCGTGCGTGTGTGTCAAGGTGGAGGCTCACGTCCAGGTGGTACTAAAACCAATCAACACAAAACCAGAGCAAGACCGCACCTGGAAGTTGATAAGGCCCCACTGCTCCAGGAACGCGTGCACGCGCACAATCGCGCACACGTCGCCAACTGCAGATCAGCCCAGCACGCAGTTGCGGTGGTGTGAGCAGACGCGAGGGAGGTAGAGGTGTGGTGTCGCTGCGGTCGTCAGTACATGATAACACGACGCGGCAGGCAAGCGACGGCAGTCCGCATGCAGATGTGCACATGCATGTACACACACACACACACACAGATCCCCGCATGCACACACAGATGCACACGCAGACGTACACAGACACAGACACAGACACAGACACAGACACAGACACACAGACACACACACACATGCATGTACACGTACACACCGAGGTTGCGGCGGCAGGCGGTGGCTGTGAGGTACTGGGACGGGTTGAGGCGATACGTGTCAATCATGAAGTTGCGGTACGCCATATAGCTGTGGCGGTGGAGATGGAACAGTGACGTGGAGGCGAGAAGGGTCAGGTTACCATGCGCAGCCATGCAACACATTGATAAACCGCGCAGTCCACACGAATACCCCTGACGCGTCGTTACACGCATGTACACACACACACACGTACACACACGCACACACACATACATACACATACATACACACACACACACGCACATCAGCCGACTTACACTTGCGGGGCCTTGCCCTTGCTCTTCCCGTTGAAGAACTCGGGCAGGGCGCGGATCTCAATTTCGTGGATGTTCTCGTAGTCGAACCAGGCGGCGGCGGCCGGGATGATGATGTGCTGCTGCTGCGCCTCCGTCGTCTTCGCCTTCTGCTCGGTAATTGGTTGGTTGTTTGATGTGAGTGAGTGAGGGTGACAGGGGAACATGGTGGTGGATGGTGGTGATGGTGCTGCTGGTGTGGCATGAATGCAAACAGCGCTGTCGAGCGTGCTGTTCGTGCGACGATGTGGTGTGGCGTGGCGTGGTATGGCATGGCATGACGCTACCTTGGCTGGCTGCTCTGGCTTGGGAACAGGTGCCTCGCCCTGGAGTAAAACCACACAAACATGCACGCACACGTGCGCGTGCGCACGCAAGAGTGAGTGGAAGCAGCCATTTCACGGCAACAAATGGTCATCAACAAAATAAAATGTCCCCTAGTTCACACATACACAGCACACACACACACACAGCACACACACACACACACACACACACACACACACACACACACACACACACACACACACACACACACACACACACACACCATCACGCGTGACCGTGCGCACCTCAACGGCTTGGATTGGAATTCCCTTTGAATGCGAAATGTCGAGCACATGACCGCTTCGAATCGGCTGATGACGATGATGGTGATGACCGTGGTGAAGGTGGTCGTGGTGACGAAGATGAGCGTGTGTCAAGGTGAGGGTACTGGGTGGAACATCACATGGATGAAGCAAGGGAACAAGCAAGCAAGGGCATGCATTGCCAACAACGCACAACGACGATCCGCACACGTGCATGCGTGTGCGTGTGCGCGCGTTGTGTGTGTATGTACGTGTGTACCTGAAGCTCGTTCTTCTTTGCATTTGTGTCGGCCTCCAACAGCGCTTTCTCAACGTCCACACGCACAGCTGTAGACCCACGCGTTGTCCACGGGATGAGTGGTGGGTAATGAGAAATGAGAAACACACACAAACCACATACATGTGACAGCCACATCCACATACGCACACAACCACGAACACCTACAATGCACCCATCCCTCCAACACACACACACACACATGACCACGTGCACAACCTTGCAAGTTTGTGTCTGGCGGGAGGCCGATGCGGGGATCGACGTCCTCCTCCTCCTCCTCGCCATCATCGTCATCATCGTCGGTGGTCTTCGCTCGCTTGCTGGACGCCGCGGCCTTCTTGCTGCGCTTGCTCTTGCTCGCAGGTGTTTCCTCATGCTTTCGCTTCCTGCTCACACAGCAACAGCGTGAATGATCGTGCGTGTGCGTGTACATGCAAGAACATGAGAGTCAAACACAATCCATACGCGGCACACGAAATTCTTCATTTCAACATGTCAAAACCATGCACACACACGCACGCACGCACACACGCACGCACACACACACAAAAAAAAGACACACACACGAACACACACAAACACACACACACACACACGCACACACACACATACATACACACACACACACACACACACACACACACACACACACACACACACACACACACACACGAACATACGTACACACACGTACGCCCCACCACCACCACCACCACCACCACCACCACCACCATCACCGACCCGTTGTTTGCTGCCTTGGCTGATGATCGCCGCCCCTTGCTGCTGCCACCACCACTGTTGTTGCTGCTGCTGTTGCTGTTGCTGCTGATGTTGTTGCCAGTGCCAGCTTTGCTGCCTTTGCTGCTGCGGCTGCCACGGCCCCTCACGCTGCTGCTTGCTGCTGCCGCTGTTGCTGCTGAGGATGACGCTGGCGACGATGAGGATGCCTTTGCCTTCGCCTTTGCCTTTGCCTTTGACGCGGCTGATGGCGTGCTCGCGGTCTTGACTGCCGCAGCTTCCGATACGGTTGGTGTTGGCCGCGACGGCGGAGTCGTTCGTCTGTTGCGCGTCGGTGACGAGCGCGCTTCCTCCTCCTGTGTGTGTGTGTGTGTGCACATGGTGAGGAAGCATGTGAGCGATAGCACAATGCACACACACACACGCACGCACATAACACAACACACGTACTCGACGCACAACACAATGCAGCAGCCCAACCGCACCTCTGGGTCCGTGTCCTCGTAGTCTTCCTCGTTCATGAACTCGTTGTACTTGGCGGTGTGCAGCAACCAGTACCCGTTCACGTAGAACCGGTCTGCGGGGGGGGGCAAGGGGCAGTGGAGCCGCGACGTGAGTTGTCGCATCACTCATCTCATCGCTGTCCACACAACAACAACAACCAAGCAACAGCAACAGCACCACCACCATACACCGTTCACCACGTGCGTATCAACGCACCTCTGCGCTGGTATCGCTCAATCTCAGCAGCGACGTCGCGAGCGGGAAGCCACGTGTCGTAGCTGTCCGGGAAGTACCAGTAGTGCGCCAGCACGCGGTCCTTGCGCTTCAGCACAGGCCGCAGCCACTCCTCACCATCTGGTGATGGTGGTGATAGCGGTGGTGGTGTGGTGGTGTGGTTGTGGTATGGTGAAGTGGTGAAGTGGTGATGTGGTGACAGCGGAATGGTGATGAGAAACAAACAAGGTCATGTGACGGTGATGGCTGGAATATTTTGCCCACACATACATGCGCACACATACATGCGCACACACACACACACACATACATCTTCACACATCTTTATGTGCACAACGCACCGTCGGCAGGATCGCGCTTTGGGAGGGAGGTGATGACGTGTGTTGCCTCGTCCTCTGAACCAACCGTCTCCATGTCGTGCTCCTGTGTGTGTGTGTGTGTGTGTGTGTGCGTGTGTGTGTGTTTGTGTGGGTGTGTGTGTATGTGTGTGTGTGTGTGAACATTGTCGGGGCAGACGCGGGACTGGACATCACGAATGATTAACAAAACCTGCATGCACATGCAAGGCATAACGGCATACAGCCAATGCGACTGCAAACATTCAACACAAAAGGTGCTGCTCCTCCCCACAACCTCACTGAAATCATCATCACCCAGCATCATTCGTACCTTGGCCACGGTGCTCAGCCTCTCTTTGTCCTTGGCGGAGACCTTTGGCGCGAAATACACGCGCATGGGCCGCAAGTGGTGCTTTTCCTTGAGCACGCGCTGCACTTCAAGCAGAATGTTCATGTTGCGGTTCAGCTTGGACGGCGTCGCAAAGTCAAACCGCCGCCTGCAAAATGTGTGTGTGTGTGTGTGCGTGTGTGTGTGAGTGCGGGTTTGCATCAGTGTGAGGGTGAGTGAGAGTTGTGTGAGGGTGCGTTTGTGTGCATATGTGTGTCGTGAGTATGTTTGGCTTTCACAAGTGCAAGTGAGAGTGAAGCTGTCTCTGTTTCAGCCGCAACAGGGCTGGTAAAGGCAACCGTTGCAGAGGCCAGGCAGATTCTTCTTACATCTGCGTGTCTGCCTTGACTTTGTATGCCGTGCCCACAATATCCACGAGCGGCCCTTTCTTTGAGTAGTCGAAGAAGAAGCGCGCCTGCGCATCGAAACAAGCAAGATGCACAACCCACCAAGAGCCACCGTGCAGGCGTGAGAGGAATTGTGGATGAAGGCATGAAACTGCAAACTGGAAACACGCGTACACAGGCAATCAAGTGGTCACGTCACTCAGAGAAGACCCAACACCCTCCCACATACACACCAAACAAGGCACACACAAGAACACACACGCACACAAGAGCACACACACATACACAAGCACAAGCACAATGCCGACACTCAGAGAGACCCAACACACACACACACACACACACACACACACACACGCACACACACGTACGGGAAACCGGGTCATGGCTTGGTTGTCAGACTGCTTGCCCAAGTGTTTCTGTAGGTCAAGAGTTCCAATGGCACGGGCAGCAGCAATAACGGTGCATGCAAGGTGAAATGGGCGCCAAACGAGGAAAAGATTCTTGGGAAAGCAGACGACACCAATCGCAGCTCACTGGCGGGGCATGTCCTCACCTCCATGAAAGACCACATGTGCACAAGCAGGGACGCCACGCCAGCTGCGGTGATGTTCTCCTGCTGCACGTAATCCTTGTACTTGTCCTGCACACAATATTGGCCAACCACATTCAAGCATATATATACACACACACACACAAACACACACACACATGTGTACACACAACACATTTGTGCAATGTTGAGTGTTGATTTGCTTTGGGAGGTGTACTCACATACAGCACGCCTGCACACCAACATACATGCACGCACGCACGCACGCACGCACGCACGCACGTTGATGGCGGGGAGGATGTTGGAGAGGGCCTTGAGGTTTTCCTTGGACTCGTACATGGCGGCGTCTGGCCCACCATGCTGCTTTCTCGATGTCATCGTCGGTGATTCGCAGCTGCTCTCTGCACAAAACAGCAGAAATGACAACAACAGCCAGCCCCCCGAAATCAATACAAAGTGGCTGGCTGGCACACGTGCACGTTTCCTTTTCCTCGCTTGCTGCCTTGTCACTGCTTGTGTCGCTCCCCGTGTCACTGCAGCCTCTGATGATGGATGACCCAGCCAGCCAGCCAGACAACCACTCTCACAGTCAAGCACCAACCGTTCACAACAGCAGCAGACAGCAGCTCGCCCGCCAAAATTGTACGACAGCACAAACAGTAGCTACACACCCTTTGGTAGTGTTTGGCTTGGCTCGATGTTTCACGAACATCTTCCATTTGTTCTCTGCGACTGCCGTCCTTCCTGGCGTTTTGGTTTGCTTGCTGTGGCGCTGCTGCTCGTGGTTTGGGGGCTGTGTTTGTGTTTGCTCGATCGATATTGACTGACCATCCTGATGACGATGATGCTGATGACGAGCACGCGTCGTCGGGGGGCGTTGGCCATGGTGGTGGTGGTGGTGGTGGTGGTGGCAGTGGCAATTGGACGCGTGACTGCACAAGATGCAGCCTTCACCAACACGTTTGCTCTCTGTGGCAGCGTGAACTCGGAGTTCTGCCAGGTTGGGATGAGTTGACATGTTGTGATATGTGTGTGTTGGTGGACGAGGTCTTTTGCTGCGTGGGTGCAGTGAAAGCAAGAACAGGGAACCAGTCGTCCTACCTGCGTGCTTGAAATACGGGCGACTGACTGTCTTTGTTTTGACTTACACGCACATGAACACACACACACACACACACGCGCACACACGCAAATATAAACACACATTTGGCAGTGCATTGATGCTACGCTGGAGCGTGTCTCGACACCACAGCACCCAGATGACCTGCCTTCCCTCGATGACCTGGAAGAAAAAGAGTACGTGCTTCGTCCAGAAGGCACCACGTGCTCGGACGGATCCCCATGGGCATTCCTTGCCACCAAGATGGACACGTCCAAACTCATCCTCGGTGCGTTTCAGTTCACTCACGCCATGCTCACGCATCAGTAGCACTGCATATGATCATGCTCAGCGGTATACCACATTTGACGCAAATCCGTGTCACCGTTGGCAGCAAACCTCGCCCACCCACCCACACACTCAAACACACACACTCTCACACACACACTCACTCTCTCTCTCTCTCACTCGCTCACTCACACTCACACACACACACTCACAACACACACACACACACACACTCACTCACTCACTCAATCGCTCACACTCACCTTCGTGTGCAGACTTCAGCGGCGGAGGCGCGTGCTGGAGCGCAGAAACATGCTTTGAGCCTGCGCTGTGCGATCCACCGCTTTCAGACAGCTGCCGCTCAAGCTACTTCCGCACGGTAAGGACGCGCGTTCTTTGAACAAATGGGTGCCAGATTCCTACCCACTCTTTCATAGGCACAGAATTGCACACACGTACACACGCATGTATATCCTCTCACCAAACCCATCCTCCCCCAATGTCACCTTCATTCCTGCTGTTGCGCGGGGTGCAGTTGAATCCTGATCCCGCGACGATGGCGGCGATTGAGTGCGGGTTCAACCTGGCGCAGGTGTACCCGGACGAGTTTGGCGGCTTCCTCGACCGCTCAAACAAGGAAAACCCGTTTAGGAAGTGGTGCGTTGCTGGGGAAGTAGTCGCATGAGTTGGGAGTGGTGTGAATGGATGGGATGGGACAGGATGGGAAGGGATGGGATGGATGGAGGGTGGAAGTGGTGAAGCGATGGATGGGATGCATGGAGGGTGGAAGGATGGGCAAGGGAACGGATGTACGGACAGAAGCAGTGGAGAATCGCAGTCACGGTGTATTGTTATTGTTGCTCTCGTGCTCGTGCACATCTCTGCATCTCTTTCTTCCCATCGTCCTCACGTGCACGTGTGCACCAAACATGGCCTTGCCTTGCACAGGAGCCACGTGTTTGTGCCGTACTGCACTGGTGACGTGCATCTGGGCAACGCCACGCACGAGTACACCAACTGCACCTCCTCAAACTGCACCATCCACCACAAGGTACGCCTGCCAGTTACTCTCTGTGACATGGAAGCTGGACGCAGGGTTGTGCTCGCTGCTGCTGTTGGCTGCTTGCTTGCTCCTTATCTTCGTGTCCACGGTGTTGGCTCGTTCTCCCTCTGTGCTGGTGCGAATGACACGACCACATGAACAGCACGCTGGTGAACAACACGCTGTCGCCTTGTGTCTCGCGTTCCCCTCACATAAACATGCACACACACGCACACACATACACACACACGTACGCATGCACACACACTTCCTGTGCGACAACCACCAGGGGAGCGCCAATGCTCGCACGGCGGTCGACTGGATCATCCGCGAGTTTGTCGACACCGGCATCCTCAAGGGTGCGCCGCAGTGGATGTGATTGTATGTGGGGGAGAGCGGCGTGTTATGGAGTGTAGTGTGCGTGTGTGTCTTCTATGTGCACGAACTGGTCACTCACTTTCTGTTGTCACGTACACACTTCACACACACACGCACACACACACACACACACACACACACACACACACACACACACACACACACACACACACACACACACACACACGCACACCCTGTACTGCTCGCGTGCAGACCTGGTGTGCTTTGGAGACAGCGCCGGTGCGTATGGCGCGATTGCGCACTGCAGCGTCCTGGCAGCGGCCATTGAGGACCGTGGCCTCGATGTTAACATCGCACTCGTCGCCGACTCCGGCGTTGGCCTCGCCGCCGTCAGCCCCACGTGGGCCATCGAACGCGGCATCCTGCAGCACGTGCGGCAACACTCCTGTGACACTGTTCCTGCGTGTGTTTGTGTGTGTGTCTCTCTCTGTGTGTGTCTCTGTGTGTGTGTCTCTTTGTGTGTGTGTGTGTGTGTTTTGCTTCGTTTCCCACCACCCCATGTCGTCCCCTCACTGCTCGTCCTTCTCTCACATTAACACCCCCCTTCACACACACGCACACGCACACACGCACACACACGCACACGCACACACGCACACACACACACACACACACACACACACACTGCCACTTGACATGTCGCCGTTTCGCACACAGGTATTTCAGTACGGCGTGTTTGGCGAGGACACGGGCTTCCACGACAGCGAGATTGCGTACTCGCCCACAATGACGAACCTGCAACGCGGTGCAACGTACGTCACCTGTCACCACCGCTTTGCACCACATCGTGCGTCGTGTTGGAGTCCCCCACCCACGGTTCTCCGACGTTGTCCCACCATCACTGCGACTTGTGTGCAGTCGTGCGCAAGTTGTTCCCCCTTGCCATGCTCACCTCTAACTTGAAGTACAATCCTCCCTCACCCTCCTTCTTTTGTGTTGCTGTTTGTGTGGCCCGTTCTTGCTACCACCATCAGCGTTGCGCGGGAGTCGATGATTGCGTTTGCTTCGCGCTTTCCGGACGCCCGCGCCACCCACATCACCTGCAACAACGACGAAACACAGCGGCTCTTCATGCAATACACGTACGTACGAAACATCCATGTTGCTGTTTGCTGATTCTTGCTTGCAGGCACCACCACTCCACGCTTTTACCGCAACCCATTGCGTGCGCATCAGACATGCCGGGCCGTTCGTGTTTCCAGCTCTGTGCCGCACGCATCCTCCCGTGCAACATCTCAGTGTAACAGCAATGTTTAATCCCACCGACAACACCACCGACCACACGTGTGCACACGTAAATGGTGGCGCTCTTGTGTGTGCGTGCAGATACCAGGACTACGGGTGCCACTGCTGCCTACAGGGTGCGTGTGCCGTCAGTGCTGATGTGTGCATCGATGAAGTGCAGGACTCGTTCACGGGCCAGTGTCACGCAGACTGCTCCACAGGCTGCTACTCAACGCTCTGGGCACAGGTGCGGACCGTCTTCATCTGTATGGGTGTGTGTGTGTGTGTGTGTGTGTGTGTGTGTGTGCGTCTGTGTGTATGTATGTGTTCAACTTCGGCTCCACTTTGAACAACAGATTGTCTTGCCTCCAATCCACAAAGTTCTCCCGCCATGGCCACATCACCTTCATTGTGCCTTCCCCTGTGTGTTGGTATTGCTTTGACAGGAGCTGACGCCGCTGTTGACCAACCTGACGCACCTCCCAAACTTTGTTCCCTTTGTTGTTGACTGCAACGTGCACACCTTTGTTCGCTCCTCCCGCTTCTTCGAATACGTCGGCGTCACCGACCTCAACGACACGTGAGTGTGTGTGCGTGGGTGTGTCTGTCTGTCTGTGTCTGTGTCTGTCTCTGTGTCCGTGTCCGTGTCTGTGTCTGTGTCTGTCTGTATGTGTCTGTGTGCTTGTGTGTCTGTGCGTGTGCAGTTGTGCTTGTGGGCTCTTGCTGGGGCAGTGAAGCCTCGGCTCTCTGTTTCCTTCCATGCACTCCAGTATTGTGCCGCCTTGCTGTTGACTTCGCACCCAGCAACGAGCGTCTTTCGTGCCTTTCCTTCACTCCCCGCTGCACACACACACACACACACACACACACACACACACACACACACAACCACAATCCACAGGGAGAACGTGCTGTTGCTGTCTGACTTTGTTGCGGCCATGACTGACCGGAGCTGCAACGACCCGCAGTATTGTTCGTCTGCATTTCTGCACGCCCCAATTGCATCTGCGATGACGCTCGCTCTAGGCGCCGTCGCCCTCTTTGCTGCCGCGGTTCTGTAGCTCCTGAGCGCGATGGTGCAAGCTGTATGCAAGGGAGAGGAAGACGCAGGGCGGGATGCCGTGCTCGCCTGTTTCAGAGAGCTGGAGACATGATACAGATGGCGTTATGCGATGTGCTGTGATGTGATTTGGTTGTTGGTCATCACTCCTTTCATTTCCTGATTGCTTCTCGCGTGTTTTCTTTCTATCACTTTGGAAAGGCTTTATTTGTTTTGGCATGTTCGCTTCCCATGCATGACATGGGTTGGCAGTGATTGCGTGTCTGCCTTCATTTGCGTTATTCCCTGTCGTCCTTGTGCGCTTTATTTGTGTGTGCACTGCTGACCTTGCCTGCTTGCTTGCTTGCTTGCTTCTTGCTTCTTGTTGCCATGTCTTCCTTGACGCTTGCTTGCTTCAACAAAGAAAAAGTGCTGAGTCAGCAAACTATTTCGCGTATGAAAAGCAAAGAAGCCGCACCCTACGACGATGATGGCGGGCTTGCGTGCACGGAGCATGATGAGGGTCGCCGCCATGGCGCCGTCGCTACTGCTGCTGCTTATGGCGGTGGCGGTGGCACCAATGGGTGTGCAGGCACAGGCGCAAACGCTGATGGCTGTGGAGCATGTTGGCCTTCCGTCTGAGCAGCCTGCGCGGTACAGCAACGCGTTTGATGAGGCCAGCCTGCTGCAGAAGATCCTCGACATTGAAGCGCGCGCGTGTCAGGAGGCGTGTTTGGCCATGGGCGAGTGCAAGGCCATGTTCCACTACAGGCTCACGTCGGGCTCCACGCGCTGCCACCTGCTCAGCAAGACCGGCAGCCCTGCCGCGACGGGCCTCGTGTCCACGAGCGCAGTCAAGATTCCACAGAACCAGGTGTCCTTGCGGTGCAACTCCTTCAATGACCTGAACAAGGCCTGTGTCTCCGGGTGCGCCGTTGGGCGCTGCTTCTTCTCCACGTGCATCGTCAACTCGAACAGCCGACCCCTGGTGGACGGCACGACATGCGCCAACGGCGACAACGATGGTGTCTGCAGCCAAGGTATCTGCGAAGCACCAGCTACAACGACGACAACAACAACAACAACAACAACAACAACAACAACAACAACAACAACAACAACAACAACAACAACAACAACAACAACAACAACAACAACAACAGCTACAACGACGACGACGACGACAACAACAACAACAACAACAACAACAACAACAACAACAACAACAACAACAACAACAACAACAACAACAACAACAACAACAACAACAACAACCACTACCACAACAACCACAACAACAACAACAACAACAACAACAACAATGACAGCTGTTGACTGGAGCGCAGCACCGAGTTTGATTGGATACTCCGTGACAGCCAGCGGGTCAAACGCCGAGAACGAGCATCTGCGGTTCTCAACCGCATTTGACGCTACAAAGATCTTGGCCAAGTTGACCGGCGTGGCTTCCTTTGAAGCGTGCACCAAGGCGTGCGATGCAGACCCAGATTGTGCGGGCGTGTTTGCGTGGGAGCATTCAAGTGATCTTCTCGGGCTGGAGTGCCGCTTGCTGTCGGACACCGGCACCCTCATCCCCACGAGCACCACCTCCTTCAGCTTGTCCAAGGCCGCCACGTCACGGTTCGACCTGCACTACATTGGCACCGGTGCAAACGAGGCCACGTCCCGCCGTTTCTCCACAGCGTTTGACGCCGCGCACGTGCTGTCCAAGTTTAATGACGCGACGGCAGAGGACTGCGCACGCGCCTGCGTTGCTGATCCAGCGTGCGCTGGCTTCGTGCAGGTTGACTTTGGCTCTACGCTCCAGTGCCGCACCCTGGATGACCTTGGTGTTGATGGCGGCGTTCCCACCACCACCCTCTCCCTCAGCTACGCGCTCAGCACCTGACACGGGTGATTCTGCGTGTGTGTGTGTGTGTGTGAGAGAGAGAGAGAGAGAGAGAGAGAGAGAGAGAGAGAGAGAGAGAGAGAGAGAGAGAGAGAGAGAGAGAGTGTGTGTGTGTGTGTGTGTGTGTGTGTGTGTTTGCTTCACATGTGCTTGGTATTGCTTTTCATGTCTGTTCCATTCTCCGTCACCTTTCAATGAACAGCTCCACAAAGGTTGCCTCGCAGCAGACGGACAGTGCTCAGAGAAAAAGGCCGACACAGGCAGAACCAGAGGCGGAAACAGAGACAGACACAGACACACGCACGCACACACGCACGCACACACGCACACACATAAAGGCGCCGCTACCCGCCGTCCTTCAGGAGCGGTGCTGCTGCTTGCGCTCAATGAGGTCGCGTTTCCACTGCGGCTGGTTGGCAAGCTTCTTTTCCCGCTCATATTGCTCCTGCTGCAGGTCCCAGATACGCTTCATCTCGCGCGCCTCTGCAACCCGCTTCTCGTGGTCTTCCCGCGCAAGCCGCTCTTGCTCCTGTAGACGTGTGTGTGTGTGTGTGTGTGTGTGTGTGTGTGTGTGTGTGTGTGTGTGTGTGTGTGTGTGTGTGTGTGTGTGTGTGTGTGTGTGTGTGTGTGTGTGTGTGTGTGTGTGTGTGTGTGTGTGTGTGTGTGTGGGTGCGTGGGTGGGTGCGTGACCCCCCTCCCCGCAGCAGCACCTCTGTTGCACACTTGCAT